CTGCTCCCTTGTTTCTACCACTTTATCCTGCTTCTTTGTGTGGACTGTGATGGTCTGCTGTCTCCAAGGCATTGTGGCATTGTTCTATTTAGATCTCTGTTAGCTGTTTGTGAAGAGCAGCCAAGGGCAATTCAGGCTCTTCTTGGTGATTTTTTATCGTTGGCCTGTTGGTGAAGAAGGAGGTAGTAGCTCTCGCTCAGTAAATGAATTTGCAGGAGGTGTATGTGTAGTGTCCTATGGGGACTGTTGTTGTCTCCCACTCAATTAGACACAAATTATAATTGAATAACCTTCAAAAAACTTTTCAGTCTTGCAGATCCGGAGGGTCCTTGGGGCTGCTGGAGAGCAGAATGTGTTCGTAAGCCTGGGAATCTGCAAGAGCGCTGTCTCTTTAAATATCCAAAATGGTCCAGCTGCTTGTAACATTCAAAATGGTGGCACCCTCCAGATTGGCAAAAGTCCACAGCTCAGCCCGCCTTTCTCTTCACCTTTTCCGTTCATTCCCCAGCCACTGGAGCAATCTTCCGTGCAGTCCCTGGCTAGCAGGGCTGATTTTAGGTTAATTCTTAAGTCCTACCAGCACTTGGGAATCTCCAAGCTGTCTGTGCCATCAGGATTGCTGCCAGACCGCAGCTCTGTATGTCTCCTTTTTTGGTATTTTCACGCAAATTCTTCTGCTAGTTGGGGTTTAGTCCACTTCTATATCCTTCCCTTCAAGGCACAGGATTCTCTTCTGTGTCTGTGTTAATTGGTTTCCTTTTTCTTTGTTGACGAGGGTCTGTGCAGTCTTTCTGCCTAGTCCACCATCTTGCCGGAACTCACCTATACATATTCTTTTATTGAAAAAAAATTGAGGTCTTCTATCAACCTCATTTTGATAAAAGCATTTAGTAAGTAGCATAATGGGGATATGGATAAATACTTTGACTCAAAAAAGTTGCAAATACATGGTGTCATCGAGGAAGAAGAAGACATAGAGAGGTGCATAGGAGGTACAGACAACAAAGATTAACCCTTGTGCACATACAGTACTGTGTTGTCAGTGATGGCAAACACTGATCTGTGGGTGGATAGACGGGTGGATAGGTTGAACTATTAGGTATGGCTATGGAGGGTGGAGTGTGCCCATGACCATGTATAGGATTGGCAGACAATGTTTCTACAAGTGTATCTGTATGTTCTATAAGATTTCCCAGGTATATAGTAGAACTGACTAGGGACAAGGCTGTAGTCACTTCTTGGCCACCGTCAGCTACTCAGAAGAAGCAAGTAGTTGGACTTGTGGCCTCGGGACCATGGTCGCAGGGGACATCAAGCTCAATTGGCATAACATACTACACAAAAACATTGTTCCACATCCTTACTGGGGAGTAGCAACTGGGATCTTAAAAGCTTGCAAATGGCCATCTAGATGCAACGATGGGTCTCTCCTCATCCAGAGAAAAGAAGAATGAAGAAAACCAAAGATATCTGGAAACAATTAGTCCAAGTGACCGGTACACTATGCAATCCTCAGCCTATATGACTTTGAGACCAGAAGAACTAGATGGTGCCTGGCTACCACCATCAACCACTCAGAAGAGGATCCATGTAGGAAATCCTGGATAGAGTTGGAGAACAATGTGGAACAAAACTCAAAATCATTAAAAAAAAAGGGGGGGTGGGTGGGAGCAGGTTTGCTGGTCTGATAGAGCCTGGTGGAACCACTGAGACTATAGCCCCTAGATGCCCTTCAGGTCTGGAAATGAACACACTCCTTGGCCTCCAGTCAAACAAAAGAGTGAACATTATTTACATTAGGCAGTTACACTCCTTGGAGAGATCAATCATTGGAGAATAGGGGGGATGTATTTGCACAGAGAGACAGCTCAGGGGCAGAAATGCACAGGAGGGAAGGACACAGGGAAGAGGTAACTATGGGGAGGAAGTGGGAGGGGAGCTTTTGCATTGTGGGAAATTACAGTCAATGTCATGAGACAAAGTGTATGTGAGCTGCTGTATGGAAAATGAATTTGCTCTGTAAACTTTCACCCAAATCACAATTAAAAAAAAATTGCAAACAATTTGAACAGAGCTCATTGGTCCACTACACAAACATTTACCAAGTATCTACAAACTGCCACGTATGGGGGGCAGAGTGATGACTTATCTTTTATCCTCCAAGGAGCTAAAATTCTGGAGGTGGGGCAGAGTCCTGAGTGCACCAGGAATGGGGGGAACCCAGAGGTGGGAAGCAATACTCTGGCCTGCAGCAGAGACAAAGCAATAGAACCCATCTAGCACACACAGCACCACCCTTTCATCAGAACCTAGCCATTTTCACTAAGTAAACTGGAAAAAAAAAAAATCGAAACCCAAATTCAGATTGACTGGTGAATAATTTAGTCATGAATTTCATTCAAACAAAAAAGGCATCAATCTACTTTTGTTCCACTACAGTAGTTGGGGGGGACATGAGAGAGAATTCTAATTCTTAGATGCCTAATTAGAGGAGATAGAACTTCCCCCAAACAAACAACAGGTTTAGCTGATAGTACTGTTTCTTGTTATACCTGTTACAAATGCTGCCACATGTACTCTCCTAACTATCTAAAGAAGGGGCTACTTTTTGCTTAAAGAACCTGCATCTTGGGCCCATTTCTACATTCTCCATAGGCTGTTTTCCAAGTTCTAGGGTCACAATCCTGGTTGAAGAAGGCTCACGGCCAGTATGTGCTTCAGAGAGATTTGGAATAAAGGTCGCTACATTCTGCATGACTTCAAGGCTAAAGTCAAAATGAAAGATATCTTGTATCACGTTGTGTCCTCAAATAGGCCTTCATTTCACCTGGTTTGGTTTTCCTCTAAGATCTCTGCATAGCTTCACAGCTCATCCCCTCATCTCCTTCAGGTCTCTGCCCAAATGTCCTATCATCAGGAAGAACTTCTCAGATCATCCTATCTAAAATAGCAGCCCCTGCAGTTACATTATACCCCATTAGTATGCTTTGTTGTTATTTTTCTTCCCTCAGAGACAAATCAGTGCCCAACATTATATCTGTTTGTTTGTCTATCTACTACTACAATGAGAGTTCCATGAGGGTAAAGGAGTTGGTTTTGATCACTGCTCTAATCTCAAGCACTTAGAATATGTCTGGAACATACTAGGAGCTCAAGAAATATGTGTTAAATGAATAAACCTACTAGTTGAATAAGTGAGGGAGCCAATGATCAACTCCACTTAAATGGAACTCTTAAGGTAATGAAAAAACCTAAGATAGCTCAGGGTCTGCATCTCAGGGGCCTTACAGGGAGTAAGTCCTTCCTTTTTCATAGCAACTTGTGCTTGGTAAACATGCACAAATACCCTTTTAAAAGGATAATAAAGCAAGAGACTCCTCTGAAAATAAAAACAAAGTTTCAACTCCATCAAGCCAATTTCCCCTTAGCACTTTGCTACAAATTAGGCAAGTAATAAAATCTGAAATATCTTTATTATTATTTATTAAATACTTGCATTCATCCAAGGAAATGAGGAATCTGCAGCATTTTGGTCAGTAACAATTTGAAAGTTCAAGAAAAGCAGATTCATCAGAGAATGAAACTCTTTTGTGGCTAACTGTATTAGTTCTGAATACAAGAAACCTGGTGGCATTGCATATAGCTGGTGTATGATTAATTCATAAAATAATCTGTGTCACTGGTACCATGTAGATGATGACATGGCACTGATGTAACAGACAGCAAGTTCAAGTGAAAGAATCACCACCCATTAAGAAGAGTAAATTCTCTTAAAAATACTGCCAAGAAATGAGAAAAAATAATTAACTTCTACCACGATGGATCACAGGAAGTAAAACTTGCTTTTGAAATTGAGAAATTCAGTCTCTAATACCTGTGGTGATGTTATAGTTCAGCTCGGCAAAACCACCAAACCGCTCACAGGTTTCTGATTCACTGGAGCATTATAGTCCCTGTATTAGCTGTACTTCCACCACAAGCAATGTAAAATCCATTTCAGTTGATAAAATAAAATACAACATGCCTTCCGACCTCACAGCTTATGTTTCAAGCTAATATATAGCTTATTCTATATATAATAACTTTTAAAATAAAAATATAAGCAAAAAAAATTAGAGTTTCTCTGGGTAACCCATAGAGCTATCCAGGAATCACAACTTCTTGGCCAGCCTGAAGATGAACATCTCTCTGAAAAACCAACCTGAGAAATTTCAAATATAGGGGATTTTATTTAGTAAAATAGTAAGCTATAACATTTTAGGATAATTGGAACACATTCTATAGATTGATAAAAAGGAAAAAACTCAAAATACCCTTCTAAAAGTCACCCCAACTCCCACAGAATGTACCAAATAACTTTCAAAAAGGAAGTAACAACAAGGAAACTACTAAAAGCAAAAAGATATAACCATCTGCTATTGTAAAAATCCAGGCACAGAAGATCAGCTGTTGAACAACAACAATAACAAAATCCTTGTACTTTGAACATACTGCTCTAATACCTACAATCTAATACATGGCAGGTAAGTTATTAACAGCAAATGTAGACTACACTATAACAAATAATTTAAGAAACAAACCTGTTGTGAGAATCCACAGAAGAACTGGTACAAAAATTGTGGCAAAATGAAACAAAGGTTCTGGAAAAAATTAAGAAAAAGGGTTAATATTTTCATTTGTTCACCTGTCTAAAGTAGGAAACTGTATCCCACATAGTCTACAGTCTTAAATCCTTGTAGTGCCAGGATGCAATAAATTTCTATTCCAGAGGAATAAGAAAACTCAAACTCATATGATTAATTCATAGTAACACCAACTTTTGCCCTACCAAGGCAGAAATACATAATAATTTATGAGAATCTCTTGCTATGTTTATTTCAGGGAAGAAATGAGCTCATCTAATATGAACAGGTAATGGTTCTGTAACTCACACACCAACTAGATTTTCAAAATCCTTATAAATGAGACTGTCATGATGCCATAAATGTGTTTTAACAGTAATTAATGCCAATAAAAAGTCAGGAAATTATTATAATGTATGCTGACACTAATAGTATAAACAAATACTACCAACTAATACCTTTATTACTGCCTCATCACGTAATTACCACAGTTATTGAGCACTTATTATATGCAACCACCACTCATCTATCAGTTTATCGTACTGTGGTGGCTTGTGTGCTGCTACGAGGCTGGAGGCTATGCTACCAGCATTTCAAATCCCAGCAGGGTCACCCATGGTGGGCAGGTTTCAGCAGAGCTTCCAGACTAAGATAGACTCAGAAGAAGGAAGGGGCCATCTACTTCTCAAAGAATTAGCAAGTAAAAACCTTATGAATAGCCCTGAATCACTGTCTTATATAGTTCCTGAAGCTGAGCCCCTCATGTCAGAAGGCACTCAAAATATGACTGGGGAAGGGGCGCTTCCTCAAAGTAGAGTCAACCTTAATGACATGGATGGAGTAAAGCTTTTGGGACCTCCATTTGCTGATGGGGCACGACTCAAAATGAGAAGAAACAGTTGCAAACATCCAATAATAATCGAAACATGGAATGTACAGGTATGAATCTAGGAAAATTAGAAGCTGTCAAATCTGAAATAGATAGATATCCTAGGCATTAGTGAGATGAAATAGATTGGTATTGGCCATTTTGAATTAGATAATCATGAGATCTACTATGCTGGGAATGACAAATTAAAGAGGAATGGCGTGGCATTCATTGTCACAAAGAATGTTTCAAGATCTGTCCTGAAGTACAATGCTGTCAGTGATAGGATAATATCCATATGCCTACAAGGAAGACCAGTTAATACTACTATTATTTAAATTTACGCACCAACCATCAAAGCCAAAGATGAGGAAATAGATTTTTTTACCAACTTCTGCAGTCTAAAATTGACCAAATGTGCAATCAAGATTTATTGGTAATTACTGGTGAACAGAATGTAAAAGTTAGAAACAAAGAAGAATCATTGGCAGTTGGAAAATATGGCCTTGGTGATAAAAATGATGTCGGAGATCACAGGATAGAATGTGCAAGACCAACAACTTATTCATGGTAAATATCTTTTTTCAACAACATAAATGGCGACTATACATGTGGACCTTGCCAGATGGATCAGATCAACTACAGCTGTGGAAAGAGGCTATGGAGAAGCTCAATATCTTCAGACAAAACAAGGCCAGGAGCTGACTGTGGAACAGACCATTAACTGCTCGTATGCAAGTTCATGTTGTAGCTGAAGACTACTAAAACAAGTCCACCAGAGCCAAAATATGACCTTGGTTACATCCCACCTGAATTTAGAGACCATCTGAAGAACAAGTTTGACACACTAAACACCAATGATCAAAAACCAGAAGAATTGTGGGATGACATCAAGAACAACATACGTGGAAAAAGCAAAAGGTCATCAAAAAGACAGGAAAGGAAGAAAAGACCAAAGTGGATGTCAGAAGAGACTCTGAAACTTGCTCTCGAACAGAGAGTAGCTAAAGTGAGCAGAAGAAATGACGAGATAAAAGAGCTAAACAGAAGATTTCAAAGAGCAGCAAGAAAAGACAAAGTCAATTATTTTAGCGAAATGTGCAAAGACCTGCAATTAGAAAACCAAAAGGGAAGAACACATTTGACATTTATCAAGCTTAAAGAACTGAGGAAAAAAATTAAGCCCCAAAATGTAACACTGAAAGATTTTATGGGAAAATATTGAATGATGCAGGAAGCATCAAAAGAATATGGAAGGAATACACAGAGTCACTGTACCAAGAAGAACTGGTAGATGATCATCTATTTCAGGAGGTGGTATATGATCAAGAACCAATGGTATGAAAAGAAGAAGTCAAAGCTGCACTAATGGAATTGGCAAAAACCAAGGCTCTGGGAATTCAAAGAATATCCACTGAGATGTTTCAACAAATGGATGTCATGCTGGGGGCACTGACTTGGCTATGCCAAGAGATTTGGAAGACAGTTACTTGGCCAACTGACAGGAAGAAATCCGTATTTGTATTCATTCCAAAGAAAGGTGATCTCACAGAATGTGGAAAGTATAGAACAATATCATTAGCATCACATGCAACTAAAAGCTTACTGAAGATAATTCAAAAACGGATGTAGCAGTATATTCACAGAGAACTTCCTGAAATGCAAGCTGGATTCAGAAGAGGATGTGGAACGAGGGATATCACTGCTGATGTCAGATGGATCTTGGCTCAAAGCAAAGAATACCAGAAAGATGTTTACTTGAGTTCTACTGACAATGCAAAAGCATTCAACTCTGTGGATTGTAACAAAATGTGGATAACACTGAAAGGAATGGGAATTTCAGAGTACTTAATTATACTCACGAGGAACCTGTACATAGACCAGGAGGCTGTCGTTCAAACAAAACAAGGGGACAGTGCATTGTTTAAAATCAAGAAGGCAGTGCGTCAGGGTTGTATCTTTTCACCATATTTTTCAATCTATATGCTGAGCAAATAATCTGAGAAGCTGGACGACATGAAGAAGAATGTGGCATCAAGCTTGGAGGAAGACTCATTAACAACCTGCAATATGCAGATGGCACAACCTTGCTTGCTGAAAGCGACAATGACTTGAAGCACCTCAACAATAAGAAAATGAAAATACTCACAATCAGACTAATAAGCAGCATCACAATAAATGGAGAAAAAAATGAAGCTGTCAAAGATTTTATATTGCTTGGTTCCAAAATCAACACCAATGGAAGTAGCAGTCAAAAAATCAGATGATGTATTGCACTGGGCAAATCTGCTGCCAAAGACCTCTTTAAAATTCTGAAGAGCAAAGTTGTCTCTTTGAAGACTAAAATGCTTCTAACCCAGGCCACAATCACTTCACATGCATGTGAGAGATGGACAATGAATAAGTAAGATCAAAGAAGAGGTGATGCTTTTGAGCTGTGGTGTTGGCGAAGAATTCTGAAAGTACCATGGACTGCCAGAAGAACTAACATATCTGTCCTGGGAGAAGTGCAGCAAGAATGCTCCTTGGAAGCAAGAATGGCCAGACTCCTGTCACCTACTTTGGTCATGTAAGAAGGGACCATTCTCTGGAGAAAGGCATTATGCTTGAGAAAGTGGAGGGTCAGCGAAAAAGCAGAAGGCCCTCAATGAGATGGACTGACACAATGGCTACAACGATGGGCTCAGGTATAGCAAG